CCACGCCAGGGGCTGCTGTCGGTACAACACGCCCAGGCCAGGGGACGCTGTCGGTACAACACGCCCAGGACAGGGGACGCTGTCGGTACAATACGCCCAGGCCAGGGGACGCTGTCAAGGCCTGCTAATACTTCTTGGTCTACCCACCTGCGAAGCTGTTCCTGGCTGCTCTGAGCTCCCTGAGGCCGAGAGCTTCCGCTTCTGCCTGTCTGGGACTACGAGATGCCTCCTTCAGGGGCGGCTTTTCTTTTACTTCGTTATGGGGACTGGGAGGGACAAGGGACAGCCGGCTGGCACAGGTACCTCTCCGTGACCCCCGGGAGGATGAAGAAGAGCCAGCAGTGGGTGCCGAGGACGAGGAGGACCTGGAACACGCACTTGCCCACCAAGGTTTTGCGCAGGTAGAGGGCCCGGTCCACCATCATTGTGCCGAACTGGGCGAGCACCATCGTCAAGAAGGCTTCGGGCACCTTGTCCTCCGACAGCGACTCGGCCAGGTCGGCAGCTGAGTATTTCTGCCAGGGCCACATGGGCGGCCTTGAGAAGGCCCTCGCCGAGACCAACCCTCCCGCACCCCTTGGCCCGGTCCCTACCACTCTAAACACCCGGACCACTTCAGCAGACGCTGCTGTCCCCACCCGGACCTGGAGGCCCAGCCCCGATGCCTGCTAGCCTCACTCTGCACAGCTCCTGCATGGGGGTCCTCCTTTTGCCCCATGAGATGCTGAGGAGCCATCACTTATCCTCTCTCTGTCTCTGTCTCCTGTCTCTGTCTCTCACGCATGTACCGCTTTGACTTGGCCTTCAAGGCCCTGCTCTGTGTCTCCTGGCTCACGTGCCCCCCGACTCGCCCTCCCCTGTGCCCAAGCACAGTGACCATCACTTTCACACCCAGGCCCCTGCCCAGTTCACGCCCTGGGGCTCTGGCCATCCGCTGGCTTGGGCTGGGGTTCGCTGCCGGTGGATGTGTGTCCTCTGTCCCTTGGGGACACAGACCAGGATGTGGTCCCTGAGATCTGAAGCTGCGGGGTTCCCGGCTGCTCCCACACTCCTGGTCCCCCACCCCTGGGCACAGGCCAGAGCCGAGGACCTGTGAGCAGTAAGGTCCCTCCCAGTCCCATCCTGGCTGGCAAGCATCCCTGGTTCTTGGGCAAGAGCCCAGGACTCGATGGCTTCTTAGAGGAGGCTGAAAACCCTGAGCAGGGGATAACCCAAGGCCGCACAGCCCTCAGAGGGCCCCCCAATCTGCAGGTGCGGGGGCTACTGTGGTGCCACAGCCCGGCCCAGCCCTTAGGGCTTTTGCCTTTATCGAGTGGTGCTTTTTGGAGAAGCATGGGACCATGGCAGCGCCATGGATGAGCCACAGAAGGCAGAGGCCACTTCGGCAATGGAGTCATGGGATTACCATCCAAAGGAGGGAGGGGCCATTCCCTGCTATTAAGAAAGCTGAAGGCAACACCTTCCTGCCAATTGCCCAGTTACTGAGGGGCACCAACAGCTGCCCAGTTACTGAGGGTCACCAGTGGGTGGAGTGTGTGGGGTCCTGGCAATGGCTCGCAGGAAACCAGAGTGGCCAGCTGGGCATTCTGGGGACAGATGGGTGGGCCCAGGCATGCTGCTCACCCCGAAAGCCCAGTACCCAAAGAGGACGATGGCGAAGACGAGCACCTCCACCAGGAACGTGAGGGCGTACACGTCACACACCGGGCTGGCCTGGGGGTGGGTGAGGTTGAAGAAGAAGCAGCGAATGGCACAGTAGGTCTCGAGAGTCCTGTGGGGACAGGGGGACGCTGTGGGCCATCCTCCCATCTGGGCTGTGCCTCCGCGCCCAGAAGGGCCTGGGACCCCTTAACTGGACAGACGGGGAAGTTGAGGACAACCTATGTGTCCATCTCCAACACTGGCATTTGCACAGGGTGCAGAGAAAGCCACGGTGGTGCTGAGGGCCCGTTGGGGAAACCCCTCAATTTCTGTCTCCAGGAGAGCTGGTGCTGGGGCAGATCACGTGCCAACCTGGCCGTAGGTCCAAGGCTCCCACCCGAAGGCCGGGCAGGTGCAGGCAGGGGGAGCCTGAAGAGAACGGGCTCCACTGTGGGACACCGAGCCCACGGCTCTGCTTCTGTGCCTCCGTCTCCTCTCTGGCCACCGGGGTGGTGACGGGGCCTGGCCACGCCATGGAGTGCCATGAGGAAAAGTGTGGGAGGAGGTGGGAGGCTGTCCAGGAAGCGAGAAAGTGCAGAGCACATCTGGGCATCTGCAGAATTCCGGGCCTGAGGGTGGCAGATGGCGGGCCGGGGAGGTAATGGATGGACAGGTGGGTGGAAAGAAAGACGAAGACTGGTTGGGACAAAAGAGAAGGAGGCTGAACGAAGGGACACGTGCAGACACAGAGGGCTGGCTGGGGGACACAGTGAGGGACAGACAGACCAAAGGAGGGCCAGAGTGCACCACCAGGCGCCTGAGTGGAACCGGGTGAGCAGACCCCATCATCCTGCAGCCAGGCCAGCAGGAGCAAGGATGCCGCTCTGGGAAGCAGCAGACCATGTCTTGGACTGGGCCCCCCAGCGGCCCCTGTGGCTGGCTCAGGCCCCTTGCTATGGGGACTCAGGCTCCCCTCCAGGGCACGTGACTGCACCAGTGGCCAGCGCTTGTCTGAGAGGAGGGGAAGGCTCTCTCCCCAGCCCCTGTTACCAGGTAAGGGCCAGCGTCCTGGCTCCGGCCAGCTGTCTCCTCAGCCTCCTCCTGCTAAGCTGTTTTCGGGTGAGAAGGCTCCATCTCTTCTTTGGTCTGGGGTCCTGAGGGTCCCCTGGCAAGATGTGATGACACAGGCCCTCCCTTTGACCTTCTCTTCAGGAGCCATGGGGGCTGGGACCGTCCCCACCCCACGCTGGGAAGGGGGAACAGCTTAGGTGTGGCTTGCTCCTCCGGTGCCCTGAGCCCCCCTGGGGCAGGGTGGGGTGCCAGCCTGGAGGCCCAGGCACTGGGTGAGAGAGGAGTGTGGGGAGCCTGGAGTGAGGACCGCCCTCTCTCCTAGCCCTGGATGTGGGGGTCCCAGTGGCCCTCCCTTCAGGCTCTGCATGGGTTTGAGGTGAATGGGAGGCCCAGGGGCCTACCTCTGTGCTCTGCTGCCCAGCTGGCCCTCCTGTGTGCCCCGTGATGGGCTGGCGGTTGCAGTGGCCGCTCCCGGGAGTCGGGGTTGAGCTCGGCTGGTCTCTCCAGGTGGTCACCACTCAGAGACCCCTGGCCGGCTTTTCTCGTCTGCTTCCTGCTGGACTCCTCCTGGCAGTGAGTGTGGTCAGTTGGTGGCTGGTCCCACAGCCCTAAGTCCTACAGGGACAGACAGACAGTGAGGAGTAGTTGAGGGTGTAACCCACACCAGGCCCCATGGGGATTGTGGGTGGGGGTGAGGGGTTGGGCTGCAGAAAGGGGAGGGGTGGGAGGAGCAGAGTGGGCACCCTGCCCTCCGTCTTCACCCCTTGCCAAGGCAGACCTTACAAAGCAGAAAAGCGAACAAACGAACCAGCATGAGGCCCTCGGGAGTTGAGAGCCAGGCCGCCCCCCGCCCAGACCTCAGGGCCGCGGCCCTGTCTGATGGCCAGCACGGACTCTAGTGTTCTTCCTCAGCGTGTTGACGGGGGCTGCTCCAAAGCCAGGTGGGGTACCCTGGCCACAGGGAGGTCCTAGGGCGGGGACTTGTCCAGGACAGGCAGGAGCCATTTTCACTTCCATGTCCAGACTGTCCACCCAGAAGCCACCCAGAAGCCACCCAGAAGCCACCCAGGGCACCCTCCCACCCTGGCATTCCAGCGTCTAGAACAGCACAACACGGAGGGGATAGGGGAGCCCAGAGGACACAGGAAAGAGGGGAGCACCAGAGATGGCTGGGGCCAGCGGGCGGCGCTTCTCCAAGCCACCTTTCCGAAAGGACGGGCATGACCGTCAGTGCAACGGGGTGGAGATGCCACTGCCCTCGCTCTGCAGCCAGCCCTCGGTGGGGAGGGAGCAGGAGAGACACAAAGGAGGAACAAATATACCCGGTGTGGGGGTAAGGTGCTGGACCCCCATATGGCTGACTGAGGTTCGAGTGCCAGATCTGGAAGCTTGCTTTCTCACTTTCCTTCTCTCTCTCTCTCTCAGGCAAATTAATAATAATAATAATAAATAAATAAAATTTAAAAAAAAAAAAAAAACACCTGGAGAGAAAGATGGAAGAGAGAGGTTTCCAGGCAGGATGGGAAGCGAGATGGGGAGGGGACCCTGCAGCATGGGACAAGAGGAGACACAGCATGGCAGGGCGAGGGGCTCCCTGAGGCTGGCAGGGAGAGCTGAGAGCTGTGGACGGGCCACACGGGAGTGAGCTGCTCAGGAACTCAGCCACGGCTCAGACCCCGGTGGGAGCCGAGCTGGGAATACGGACGTCTGAAACGAAGTGATGCAAACTTCACACAAAAGAAAACCGCGCTGGAACCGGGAGCCGAGCCGCAGCCCCGAGCGGAGTCAGGAGCTAGGGCCGGCAGTGCCAGTCTCCTCTGTCGTGAGGTCCCGTGCAAGGCAGAAGCTCCGGCAGCAGTGGGAAGCCTTGGGTCTGGAAGCCGGGGACAGTACCCCACTCACCTCCACGAGCGGGTGTCACCTGTGGGGAATGAGGCTGGGCCCGTGGCCCGCCATGGTACCTGGAGGGCAGAGCGGTGGGAGCACAGCGCCAGCAGCTGCAGGAGGTCACACAGGGCGTAGCCATCCCTCTTCTCGATCCCGAGTATATTCGGCAGAGAAAATGGCTTCTCCCCGCTGATGCCAGCGTATCGCTTTGTGGTCCAGGGAAAGAATCCAAACTGTGAAAAATATTTGACCACCACAGTGACCTAAAGGAAGGGAGAGGGAGGCAGGGAGTCATTGCACTGGTATGTGTGGTAGACACGCACATGCATGCATACGTGCACACGCACACACACCCGGAAACAAGTGAGTGCCCAGGAACACGTTTCGTGTGAGCTACTGTGCTTCCCCAGCCACGGGACTGCTCTGGCCGGCAGCAGAGGCTGGAGACTGGGAGGAAAGAACCCGGCAGCGCCGTGGACACACGAGCTGGCCCCTGGGGCACGGAGGCTGGTCAGCCTTCTTTCGTTTTGTCTAGCTGTTGCTCCTTTTTTTTTTGGAGAGATTTTCACTGTAGGGCGCGTGCGCTCGCCAGACAGAGAGAGACATAGAGACAGAAAGCGAGAAATCACCCCCCAGGGGGATAGTCACACCACAATCCCTTCTCCTCCATTCTCCTCTCGGGATCTTGGGCACGCACGCACACGCGCCTGGTGTGAGTTTTAAGCCACCGGGTCCGGGACGCAAACCGCGGTCAACTACATGGGAGTCCAGTGACATAGCCATTACACTAAC